CCCCAAAACCCCAAAACCCCAAAACCCCTAAGTGAAGTAAATTAAAAGATTTAATAGTCTATTCTACCAGATAATTTTTCAAATTTAATAATTTATATACGTTAATAAAATGGATAAAAAGTATAGAATGGAATTGCACATCGAGGACTTGGATAAAAATAAACCCATTCTAGATTGAAGTCATCAACCTTACTCTTCAAGAAAGCCCTAACCTAGGAGAGTATCTAAAAAGGTTTACTCTGATTTAATTTCAGATGATATTGATGGCTTAAGAGATCCGTTAATTTCAAGGTAAGTTAAACTTTCTAAGAATTTTATATCAAAGTTTATTACCAATTCGCGTGTTTCTTATCCTATTATAATATAGAGATTTATTAGACTATAACTAAAATCCAAGCGTAAAAAGCAAAGATACATCAAGATCATTTGTAAATTAATTAATTTTAACTCTTATTAAGTTATAATCGTCTTGATCATATATAAAAGCAACAGTAAAAGCTGGAAGCATGCGGGGATCAGTAGTTTCTCTCACTGCTGCCACTGTTGGAGCTGGAACTATTACACTACCTTATATTATAAGTCTAACAGGATTAATATTTGGGTCCATGCTTGTTATATTTGGTGCAGCATTAAGTTATTATTCAGGAATCTTAATTGTATATTAGGATATAATTCAATATTCAACATTTCAAATAGGTTAAATGCGATGAGTTAACTGGAAAATTTGCATATGAGTCTCTGGCTAAGATTGCATTTGGCAGGAGATGGAAACCATTTGTATCCCTAATGATGCTGGTATCTATGATAGGATTCTAGATTGCAAGTCTAACATTAGTATTGATTTAAATAATAAATTATTTCAGATGAAAACCTTATTGCCAGAATTGATCGAATAATTATTTGGAGCAGAAAATTTACCTTACTAGCTAAGAAAAAATGAAACAGGCTAAATTGTGATCATAACTATTATTACTGTAAATTATTTATTTTATCAATTTATTCTATAGATCTGTGTTGTTTACCCTCTATCTATTCCGACTGAAATAAATCAGACTATGGTAATGTCTGCAATTGGAGCAATTTGCAGTATATTTACAGTTTTTGTGATTGTTTATGAATTTCTAGCAGATAGATTAGTGGTTCCTGATATTTCTGGTCAATTTTAACACATTAAATATTTTATCTTAGATTGGGATAGATTTGTGGAATCCACACCTTTTGTTGTATTCTTATATATGTATCAAGGTATCATACCTTAGATGTATAGAGAACTTGATCGCAGAAATCTCAACAGAATGGATAGAATAATTCTAAGAAGCAGTATTGGAACAGTATTTATTTACTTGATAATTGGAATTTTTGGGTATCTTACATTTGTCGATAAAATTCAGGAATAAATCTTAGATCCTAAAAGAAATGGTAATATTCTAGAATGCGATTATTAGGGGTCAAAGTTAGTATAACTTGCAAGAGCATCAGTTACCTTTTCTTTAATAGCTACTGTGCCACTATGTTTAATTCCCGCTAAAGATTCATATATGCAAATGGTTGGCATTAGAGAATTGAATGATGAAAATAATTCAAAGCTATCTATCGGCTTAGTACTGGTCACTTATATTGCTACTGTGGCCATCCCAAATATTAGAGGGGCAATAACATTACTTGGTGCTACAGTCAATCCATTCATTGGGTTTATTTTTCCCATTATGTTCTATCTAAAATTAGATCCATAACCACTAGCAAGTAAAGACAAAATTATTGCTATCCTTGTCATGATCTTTATAATCTTTGCTAGCATACTAGGTCTGCTATAGTACTTCCTTAAAGAGGTTTGATTAACTAGAATTAAAAGTTTAGAAATTATTAAAAGATATATAAAATTTCATGTTAAATATTTATGAAATTAAGGATTAGATATCATCTTATCACAATAGTTAATAGTTATTTCCTTAAATTATATTTAAATCCCTCATTCATTGTTTATCAGAGGATATATAAAGCCTGGTAATTTCCTATTGCTCTGACCCATAGTTAGTTATCTCTAATTTCCTATTAGTTAAACATTGTTGAAGTCTCTTCGCATTACAATAGGATCATAAATATCTTTTCTCATAGTCTTGTTAACCATCATGGCAGCTGATTTCAACCTTTGCATATTAGTTTATGATTACGATTGCAACTGTTAAGTTGAGTTCAGTGACTGATTTTGGTGTTTGCTAATAACCTACTTTCTTTTTTAATTCAATTCATCTTTTGTTACAAGAACTCCATCTCTTCTAATGAGTTAATTTGACTTCAACTATCGTTCTGTTAATAGTTATCCATAGGTTGGGGCATCTGGTTACTGCTTAATTTTCACATTTAGAAAACTAGTTTATCCTGCTTTTGAAGTCTCGTCTTTGACTAATATAGATCTTGATTACAAAAAATCACCGATTTTAGCATGATCTAAGCCGATGTTTATTTATTCATTCAATAACTAGAAGTTTAGCTTCTTTATGTTATTATTAGACTATGAACCATTCAAATAATTTTTATGTGACTACTAAGACATTGCCATATCAGTAATCTGAGGTTTAAGATCAGGTAGATACATCTAGGAAAAATGCTATTACCTTTATTGCTAGTAGTATTGAGACGATTAATCATCAGAGATTTGATCATAAATAGTAGGAGTAACAGTACTTATTTAAATTCTTTCTCTAATTGGATTTTATTTAGTCGACTCCCTTGAGGTTTAGATATTAGTAAGTTTGAACGTTGAATTAAAACCATTCTCACTTTGATTTAGATTGAGACTGCTTTTAGCATTACTAGGATTAAACCCCTTCACAATCAGTCCAGCTTATAGCTTTTAAGTTCTCTCAGTCAGCGAGCCAAGTTCAATAGCCTTATCCATATATGATTTTTAAAGAAAATCATGAAAGCTGCCTATTGACTTTCTCATCTCTGAGCTTTTCTATCTCACTGATGTTCTTGATGGCTCACATTAAATTCCCTCATCCTAAACTAATAACATACTATTCTCCTCAGTAATAACTTCATGCTCATTTTTAGTTCCAACATTCTTATCTCCATATCCTTCAAAATTTATCTAGTTAAGTTTTATTCTAAATTTCTCTATGTCCTTATACTAAATTTCATCCCCACTGGCATTTAATGTTTCCAAAAATTTCATATCATTTAAAAATCCCAAGTCTGCATTACTGAAATCCTAGGATTTATTCATCTCTTTTTGCTGTTGTTCTCTATAATCTCTCCATTTTTTCAATCTATCTTAATACCCCTAGTTTCTTTATCTGAGTAAAGACTGGATCTTATTGGCATCTTTGCTTTTGATAAGTTGCACCAAATCATCTTTATTAAAAAGATAACCAGCATGCTTAGAGTCTTCAAAGCTTTAATCCTATTCAAATGTCTACTAATAATAAGACTAGAGAGCCTTGTAAAGCTTGTTTGGATTTAGTCTAATAAAATTAATGATAAATATCATTTTTATTTTACTTTCTAATTTTAAAGTCGTCACTGGATATTAGTAGAGGTGCTTGAATGATATTATTTGAAGTAATCTTGATAGAATTCCTGGTGAAGTGGTTGTAGAAATCATTTTAAGATAGCGAGTTTCTTAAAGATTGCTTTTTCCTTAAAAAGTCTGGGGTCAGAGACCTAGATTGATAGTTGCCTGAGGATATCTGAGATTCATTTTTATTATAGTAAGAAGGCAGCTAAGATTTTTTATATTGGAACTGACGATCTTATATCATTTGAACTGAGGCTGCACTGTTTTTTAATGGATTTAAATTGCCACTTACTTGATATCTGAAAATTAATTATTTAGGCCATTAAGTTAATTGAAACTTACTTCTCCTTAAACTTTTTGACATTCATGGTCTTACTAATAAAGGATTCGAATTCCTTATGATCTCCATACTAGGAATTTAGAGTCTCTTAGACAGCATTATTTTCTTCAAACTCTGTTAAACATGTTAATCATTTATAACTTACTTGACTCATTAGTCCCTACCTATTTGATTGTAGCTGCAGTTTTAGGGAGGAATACTGTTGACAGTGTAATGTTTTTAGGATCTCCTGCTTCTATTTTAGATTCAGATTCAATTTGCAAAAGTGTATTATTTCTTAAATTTCTAGGTCTGATTCTATTGGCACTTGTTGACTTTGACATAGATCTATCTAACTTTTCCTTATCGCTGATAACCTTCTTAAAGACTTAGACTCTGCTTGGGTCCAGTTTAGCGTTAATATTTTCCATCATAAAAATAGCAGATATTACTTTTTATTAATTTTAAGCTATTTTCAATCTGTGGGGTTTTGGGGTTTTGGGGTTTTGGGG